ACCATACTCAAGATACCATTGTTGAAATGAAAATTACTCATCATCGAGTCATAGAGTTGTACAGCATGGATACAGACTCTTCAGCGCAACTCATCCATGCTGACCAGATATCTTAAGTTAATCCAGTCACATTTGCCAGCATTTGGCCCATATCCCTCTAAACCCTTCCTATTCATGTACCCATCCAGATGCCAATTAAATGTTACAATTGTACCAGCCTCCACCACTTCCTCTGGCATACACGCACCACACTCTGCGTGAAAAAGTTGCCCCTTAGGTCCCTTTTAAATCTTTCCCCTCTCACCTTAAATCTATGCCCTCTAGTTTTGGACTCCCCTACCTTGGGGCAAAAACCTCGGCTATTTCCCCTATCCATGCCCCTCGTGATTTTATAAGCCTCTGAGGCCATCCTTCAGCCTCCAAAGCACAAGTGAAAATAGCCCCAACCTACTCAGCCTCTCCGTATAGCTCAAACACTCCAACCCTGGTAACGTTCTTGTAAATCTTTTCTGAACCTGTTCAAGTTTCACAACATCTTTCCTATGGCAGGGAGACCAGAATTAAACACAGTATTCGAAAAATGGCCTAACCAATATCCTATATCATAGACAATCAACAGAACGTTTGTCATTTGATTGTTGCTATTCCATATAATGTTTGCATTAGGCCAATGAATACTGTCCCCAAATCAGTTAGAACAGAATTTTTATAGGGAAATACAGGCATCCTGTGTAATCATTTGGCAAGATGCAACATGCAGTCTTTCCTGAAACTTCTATTGAACAAGATATTAACTCTAAGTACAGCAATTAGATTTCCCTTGCTGGTATTTATACATATTGCATAATTGTTTTTCTATTTGTTGTATGAAAATTGATCATTTCAGGAACGGAAATATAAATTTCCCTCTGGAGTTTAATTACTGTTTGAAAATCCACAGGGAATGTGGCAGATTGGAGAATCTTGGAATACAATAGAGCAATGCAAAGTAAATAGAATATCGCTCTGATAATTTTCAGGATACTCAAAAAGTTATTCTATGTTTTGTGACTCAGGCTAAATCCTTTTTTTTCATACAAACAGAACTGAATTGAAGATTAAGAAAGACCAGTACAACATCATATTTCATCAGTCAATGATTTTTTGGATAATGTAACTGTAGTACCAAGTTTCCATCATTCAAAAGAAGTTAAAGATTAGGGTATAATATTCAACCGTATAGTCCTCAAGCCCTCAAAGCCAAATTCAGCATTACTTAGTAATTATGAAATAAACAAAAACAGAAATTGCTGAAGAAAGTCAGAACGTCTGACAGAATCTAGAAAAATTACATTCATACAGTCATAGAGACTTACAGCACGGAAACAGACCCTTTGGTCCAACTCGTCCATGCTGATCAAATATCCTACATAAATCTAGTCTCATTTGCCAGCATTTCACCCATACCCTTCTAAACCCTTCCTATTCATATACCCACCCAGATGCCTTTTAGATGCTGTAATTATATCAGCCTCCACCACTTCCTCTGGCAGCTCATTCCATACATGCACCACCCTCTGCATGAGAAAGTTGTCCCTTAGGTCCCTTTTAAATCTTTGCCCTCTCACCTTAAAAATAAATCTTTTTGCTCTTTCACTCTCTGTAGCACTTTATAATTTGTTATGATAATGTCCAACTGATCCTGAAAAAAGCTGAGTTCACTATTATAGTCCTGCGACCCTTCTTCAGAGCTTAGTTATTAAGTCTAGATATAACTCAACAAAAACTTCATCATAGTACCTTTAATGTCAAAAGCAACCTAAGCTACTTTACACAGGATAAGGAAACAGACTCCAAGATACAGGACAATATTTGTCGGTGTGACTGAAGGGTTAAGTCAAAGAGCTGAGTTTTGAGAAAATTTTCAGTAATGCAGCATGTGAAAGAAAGAGACAGACTTCTGTTCATACAGTGACATCAGGAATGCAAAAGCACTTCAAAGACATTGAAGTATTTTGAAGTGTGGTCACTGTAATAAAATAGGAACAAAGGCAAGGAGTTTAGGAAGGGAGATTGGACAACAGGGCTAAGGCACAAAAATACTCTACCACCAGTGTTTGAAGAAACTATGTGGGGAGTGGTATGTCATGGCAAAAGAGTCAATAACTGGGAACAATGAGATGCAGAAGAGGACATTATCTGAGAACAAAGGGTAGTTTGAAGTTTACAGGATTTGAAGGCAAGGATTTTGATCTATTGTGTTGAAAGATTGGTTCCAATGTTCAGTGGATGTGAGAAGTGCAAAATACAGTAAAGGAGAACCGTTGTATTTGGTTCATTCAGAGTTAATGCATGTGGAGGATAGAGACTAACGTAGACAACATTAAATAAGTTGGTTGAAGGTGACAAGATTTCAGGTAGTGATCAGCTTCACTCTACTAATGATAGTGGTTCTTAATACTATAGATTTTACTGCTCTATCTGGCTTTCTCACTAAAAATAAAACTTGAATATATTCTTTCATATAAAACCTGCAAGCCCAGATTTTACAATTCATATAACTTGAGAACTGAGCCTATGGAGGGAGTGGAAGTTTATAATCCCAGCACTTCCTGCTCTTCCAAATCATATCTTCATGTCTTTTGCCATTTTAACAGGTCTACTTAGGACAGCACTTAGAAGAGGTATAAAGGTGAGGTCTGATGGCATTGGACTCTGAAACAAAACTGAAAAGTGCTGGAAACACCCAGCCGATCAGGCAGCTTCTTTGGAAAGAAACAGATTTAACATTTGTGACAAATTGACCTTCAGCCTTCTCTTTGGCTACAGTCCAAGGCTGCACCAGATGGTGCAAATGTTAGTGCCATATTTGACTCCAAGATAGGATCATGACAACATATTCACACCTTGGCCAGTGTCTGGGGGTCACAACAGCAACCTGATAGGCTGAGGCAGGCAATTTCATGGATTCGGATTTAGATTGTCTTAGGAGCAAAATGAGCCTATTCAGCCCGTCAAGTCTGCTCCAACTTTTAATTAGATCAGGGCTGATCTGATCATCCTTAAGACCACTTTCTTGCCTTTTCCCTATAATCCTTGATTCCCTTACTGATTAAAAATCTGTCTCAGCCTTGAATACAATTAACAGCCTTCCTTAACAGCCCTCTGCAGCAAAGAATTCCAGTTCACTATCCTCTGGGAGAAGAAATTCCTCCTTATCTCTGTTTTAAATGTGCAACCCCTATTCTCAGATTATGCCCTCTGGTCCTAGACTCTCCCAAATGGGAAAACATGACTCTCCTTCTCCACAAAAGTGCACACGTAATGCAGGGCATTGTCAACCTTCTGACTTTGGGGATAGTCCGGAGCAGGGAATGTTGTTATCATGATTGAGAACTCACCTCAGCACAGAGAAGGTTTTGGCTCTGCTTAGACATTGTACAAATCAAGTGTTCCAAGATCTACCCAAATAGCAGCCATTGATCATTTTAAATTACGGCCACATATGGGTAGCCCCACCCTGTGAATATTATTCAGCTATCAAACTCTCACAATTCATTTTCACGCTGTGAAAATAAGAACACACTTTGTTTCTCTCAGGGCAGGTTCACAACCGAGAAACTGTTCCAAATTTGTTTCTGACCCCACAGCAAAAATCCAGCCCAGAGTGCAGCCTTTCTGTAAAACTATGATTAAAGATGGGAGAAAGATATTGGTTTTTAAAATCAAGATGACAAAGCAAGAGATTGGAAATCCCAGATCCCTTCTTTGCCACCCCACCTCCACCTGCTACTCCCACAGCAAACAATGACTAGCTTGGAAAGTATGTAAAACTTTAAGTAGACCAACAAGACCTCTTCACTCTAAGTACAATGAGTTTAACTCACAAGGTCCAGAACTGCAGCTTCACAATATCAATAACATCAGCCGTCTCAAATGAAAACTACATTAACAATCTCGGAACAAAGGTGCTGAGTTGGTCACAATCTGTCATGTTGAAATGTCATGGCATACAAATTGATGAATACTGGCATCCAGGAAAGAGCTGGCATGGCTATTGCACACTTTAAGCCAAATGCTTTCCTCTTACATACTTCTATCGTCACTTCTATTTCTTCAATTCTTAAAGAACTACTGTTGTTAAACACCCTTCTCATGGATCAATGGAAAAGTGTTTTGTCCTGAGACTGAGTGATTTGGATTATAGAATCCTTACAGTGTGAAAGTAGGCCATTTGGCCCATCATCGACCCTTCAAAGAGTATCTCACCCAGATCCAGACCCCTATAACCCTGCATTTGCCATGGCTAATCCACCCAGCCTGCACATCCCTGGACACTATGGGCAATTTAGCATGGCACAATTCACCTAACCTGCACATCCTTAGACTGTGGGAGGAAACCAGAGACCCCAGAGGGAACCCACACAGATAGAAGGAGAATGGGCAAACTCTACACAGTCACCTGAGGGTGGAATCGAACCCGGCTCCCTAATGCTGTGAGGTAGCAGTGCTAACCATTGAGCCACTGTGTCATGCTGCCCCTGTGGGTTGGCCTAAATGATCTGCTGGTTTTCTTAATCTCAACAGGAGGTGGGCTGAGCCCATTTTCTACTCTTTATTGAGGGGTGGTGGCCACATTTCTTTGTACCTGTGGGCACCTTTGGTGCATGTTTTAAAACTCAACAAGGGAGGGAAGTGAGGGGTGACAATGGGAACCAGAATGATGCTCCACAACCCAGCCACTGTCAGGAGCAGTGCAGGATTTCCTCAGGAATTCAGTGCAGAGCAGAGCATAAGCAGAGATCTGAGAGGCTGCCTGCTGGCCCTGTCTGGAGCTGAAAAGGTGACTAGTCCTCACTGTCCGTAGTAAGGTATTTTAGCACAGCCAGTCACAAACAGCAATGAGCCATGTGAGGTAAATGCAAGACCGAACAACAGGGGCAACTTGACAAAGCAACCATTTTACATCCAGTAGGCAGTGAAAATTTAAGAACTTGTCCAGCTTTATGTTAGAAACTTACCAAGGAATCAGCTCTATCCATGTAATGATTCAAATTATCAGTGCACTCTAAAAAGGAAATTCAGTACTCAAACAGTTAAACGACACATTTTTTTTAAACACAGTGAAACGAGCTGCACAAAGGAACTGCAAAGACTTCTGGGCAGTCACCGCAGAGTGCTGTGTGCATGTCATCATGGCTGATAGCATTACAGGACCTGTTTAGGTATCCTCACAGACTGCCAGAACGAGGGAAATTAATTCTCACCATGTGACTTGCACTTGAACCAATTATATCCTGATTGTAGTCTAAGAGTAAAGTAATAAATACAGCAGTGACTCCCAAATGTGGCCGAACTGTGTGCTCAAATCTAGCGCTGTAAGCAGTCTCACAATCGTTGTAATATACTCCCAGTGTCTCTTGGGACTTGTGCAGTGGTCACGGTTTAACCTACTCGCAAATCATGCCACATTCACGTGGATTGACGGTCATTCACTTTGATTTAAAAAATCTAACTTCACCCTAAAAATAGATATGAGTTCAACTACTTAATTAGCATTGGAATCGTCTACGCTTTTTAGAAGCAGATCTCAGTCTTCTGAATCGTCTACTGGTCTATCTACCAAAGTGTTGTTTTCGCAAAGCCCAAATGTGTTCCAGAGTTAAAAGATGAGGACATTGAACCGATACCCATGCTGAAATAAGAAGGCCAGGAGTGAGAAGATTAAAAGATGAGGGACAGGAGATTTTTTTTCTGAAGAAGGGTCTAGGCCCGAAACGTCAGCCTTCCTGCTCCTCTGATGCTGCTTGGCCTGCTGTGTTCATCCAGCTCTACACCTTGTTATCTCAGATTCTCCAGCATCTGCAGTTCCTACTATCTCAGGGACAGGAGGTAGTTAGAGCAGTTGGAAGATGAAGGAAAGAGTTAAAGGAGATGGAGCAGAGTTTAAAAGGGAGAAAATAGAGTCGAGGTGATGAGGGTGAGGAGGAAAAAGATGGAAGGTAAAGTATAGTAGGAAGCCAAGGTCGCAGGGAAAAAGATCAAATGGCCACCACATCTGAGCCAAATTCTAAAGGAACCTATAGTGATACAGGCCTGAGCACAGCTAGTCAGGAATGTGATTGCCAGAGCTGCATTACATCTGTTCTGATAGTGCAGGAGGGTTGGAGCTAAGGATGGAAAGAAGCTAGGAAGAAGTAAATAAAACAAAAGGCACTGGAGCAAAATCTACCATCAAACCACAAAATCTGGTCAAAGATATAGATTTAAGGAGCTTATTAAAGGATTAAAGAAAGATTGATAGACAGGCAAATAAATATTAGGAGGAAATTCAAGATTAAGTGACTTGTCAGCTGAAGACACAGTCACCAACTGTGGAGTGATTAAAATCAGGAATGCTGAAGAATAGGAGCATAGATATCACAGAGTGTGGGGCTGGAGCGGATTACAAAGCTAAAGAGGTAAGCTGCTGTGGAGGAATTTGTAAACAAGGATAAGAATTTCAAAATTGAGCTATTGCTTTATCAGGAGCCACTATCGATCTGCAAGCCCTTCATGATGGGCAAACATGGCTTGGTATGAGTTACAACACAGGCTATAAATTCTGGCAGAGGTGGGAAGATGGTGAGGATCAAGTACACTACCACCAATCTTATTAAGTGTCCTTCCTGCTTCTTACCTCAATATCTTGGGAAGACAATATTCTACCCAACAGGTCTGATCCATGACTAGAATTATACATAATCCAGGCTATTAGGAAATGAATTATCTGGCTGTGGTTTTTATAACAAGCGACATGATATTTTACAAATTTCCAGTTTTTTTTCTCTATTCATTTGTGGGATGTGGGCATCGCTGGCTGGCTAGCATTTACTGCCCATCCCTAGTTGCCCTTGAGAAGATGCTGGTGAGCTGCAGTCCACCTGCTGTACATTGACCCACAATGCCATTAGAGAGGGCATTCCAGGATCTTGACCCAGCGACAGTGAAAGAATGTTGATATATTTCCAAGTCAGGGTGAGTGGCTTGGAGGGCAACTTGAAGGTGGTGGTGTTCTCATGAATCTGCCGTCCTTGTCCTTCTCAATGGAAGTGGTCGTGGGTTTGGAAGGTGCTGACTGAGAATCTTTGGTGAATTTTTGCAGTGCATCCTGTAGATAGTACACACTGCTGCTACTCAGTGTTGATGGTGGACTGAGTGGATGCTTGTGGATGTAGTGCCAATAAAGCGGGTGGCTTTGTCCTGGATGGTGTCAAGCTTTTTGAGTGTTTTTGGGGCTGTATGCATCCAGGCAAGTGGTGAGTATTTCATCTCACTCCCGACTCGTGCCCTGTAGATGGTGGACAGGCTCTGGGGAGTCAGGATGTGAGTTACTCGCCACAGTATTCCTAGCTTCTGTCCTGCTTCTGTAGACATTGTGTTTACGGGTGAGTCCAATTGAGATTCAGGTCAATGATAACTCCCAAGATGTTGATAGTGGGGGATTCAGTGATGGTAACACCATTGAATGCCAAGGGACAGTGGTTAGATTGTCTCTTATTCGTGATGGTCATAGCCTGGCATTTGTGTCGTGCAAATGTTACTTGCCACTTGTCAACCCAAGCCTGGATATTGACCAGATCTTGTTGCATTTGAACACAGACTGCTTCAGTATCGGAGGAGTCATGAATGGTGCTGAACATTGTGCAATCATCGGCGAACACCCCCACTTCTGACCTTATGATGGAGGGAAGGTCATTGATGAAGCTACTGAAGATGGTTGGGCCAAGGACTCTACACTGAGGAACTCCTGTAGAGATGTCCTAATTCACTTCCATTGTATGGCATTGTGGGATTTTGATCTTGGTTGCTATCTTATTGCAGTAACCATTGCAGTACTGCCTCTTAATTGGTCATCATTTTTGTTATTAATAAATGTCAGCAGAATTTTACCGGAGTCTAATGTAAAAACAGTAAAAGCAAAATATGACCAGGCTATTAAAAGAGAAGGATATATCACCTCCTCAATCAGTTCCACTGTAACAACATATCAGCACATTGGAGCTTTCCTAAAGTAGTTTTGCAGGTCAATGCAGGATCCAGTGGAATCCTGAGCAATGCAAAAGCAAGTAAACAAACTGGAAGATTTCAGCTGTGATATTGGGTTCTGTAGCAACTCTGGGACCTGGTGTTGTAGGAAGCCTAAAGTCAGATTATGGTACTCACTATATTTCTGGTCATGCAGAGTGATTTGATTTGATTTGGTTGAATTGGATTTATTATTGTCACATGTACCGAGATACAGTGGAAAGTATTAAAAACAGAAATTGCTGGAAAAGCTCAGCAGGTCTGACAGCATCTGTGAGGAGAAACCACAGTTAATATTCCAGGTTGAGTGACCTTCCTCAAAACGACAGATGCTGCCAGATCTGCTGAGCTTTTCCAGTAAGTTCTGTTTGTGTTTCTGATTTACAACAGTTCTTTTGGTTTTTATTACAGCGAAAAGTCTTGTTTTGCATGCTATCCAGACAAATCAGACTAAGTACATCAGGGTAAAAGAATAGAATGCAGACTATAGTATTAAAACTAGAGAGGGTGCGTCGGAAGATCAACTCTAATATATGAGAGATCTGTTCGTAAGTCTGATAACAGGGGGAAAGAAGCTGTTCTTGAGGCTCACATGAAACTGACACACTAGAAGCTTTCAACATGGCAGTTTTTCAGATCAGACAATGTTTCTGGCTGACCTGTACAAGATACTGAAAACAAAATCTCGCAGGTCAATTAAATATCTTGGCTAGTCACTCATAGCTGATATATATTCAGTGACAGGAGGAAATCCACCACTGTCATGATTTGCAGATGAAATGCATTTGACTAACTTCTATTGCAAACTTGTTGGACACTCTGCATTTTATTGTTTCTGAAGGTTTGTGGTGAGTTGTTGGATTTTTTTAGTGTTACTACAACTTGATCCTTGCAGGTGAACATATACCAGTTTGCCACCCATCATTCCATTAAGGATATCATGCAGATCCTGTATGCCTGGAGCATGAATTTCATAATTTTGTCTTAAAGAAAAGAGACAAGGAGAGGGTGCATGGATTTTTCAAGGGAACAGGAAACTATGTAAGGGGTCCCACGCCATAAATGTGCAGCTGATATACAACATGCTATCAGTGAGTGTGTGGCCTCAATACTGGTGGTGAGAAGGTATTAGCCCATGGCATCTTCCCAAGCAATCACGGACAGTTCAACACTTACCTGTTTATTACCTTCTTCCTCACTATCCAAGGCCCCAGACACACCTTCCAGATGAAGCAGCCCATTTATCTGCACTTCATTCAACTTAGTCTACTGTATTCATTACTGAAAAATGGTCTCTTCTGCAATGGACAGACGAGATGTAGACTGGGTGACAGCTTGGTAGAACAGCTCTGCTCTATCCTTAAAATAACCCCAAGCTTCCAGTCGCCTGCCACTTCAACACACCAATATGTACCTTGGCGATCACTTTTGTCTCAGGCCATTGCTCCAGTGAAGCTCAATGCAAGCTGGAGAAATGCCTCATCTTCTGCCTGGGTACCTTTGAATTTAACAATTTCGGAGAGTGAACATTTTCCTCCACGATCATCTTTCACGCCACACCCCCAAGGCCTATTCTGTGTTGGATTGCTCCCTGCACAGCCAAACAATTCCCCACAATTCACAACTCCCTTCGTACCCATTTAGCATTTATCTCGAATTAAAAACCGGAAGAGTTGTGGGTGCAGTTAATCAGAAACAAAAATAGAGATTGCTGAACAAGTTCAGCAGGTCTGGCAGCATCTGTGAAGAGAAATCAGAGTTAACATTTCAGGTCTGGTGACCCTTCCTCGAACTGATGGTAGCCAGGAAGATGTTGGTTTATATGCAGAAGATAGGGCAGGGGGAGGGGATAAGGAGTAAATGATAGGTGGGGATAGAGCCCAAAGAGAGGGAAGAACAGTTGGATAGACAAAGGAGTTGATAATGAGAGACAACAAGGTGCAGGGCTGGATGAACACAGCAGGCCAAGCGGCATCATAGGAGCAGAAAGGCTGACGTTTCGGGCCTAGACCCTTCATCAGAAAAGGGGGAGGGGAAGGGGGTTCTGAAATAAATAGGGAGAGAGTGGGAGGCGGATAGAAGATGGATAGAGGAGAGGATAGGTGGAGAGGAAACAAACAGGTTGAAGAGGTGGGGATG